TAACTAATCCAACGTTGTGTTTAGTAAACACGTGGTCGCAAGTCGTGAAAATGCTACTTGGGTAATGGTATACTCTTTTATAAAGATTTAAATAGTTTCTTTTGCATACAAATGGGCTAGTAATATTATCATTTTATTAAAAACGATAATATTACTAGCCTGTACATTTTGTACATTTGTTGCTTTAAAAACAATCTAAAAAGTCAATATTCCATGGGTATATTGATAAATGAGGTCTAAATTATAAGAAAATGCATTTTCTACGAAAACTTGAAGGGATAGGTAAAAAGTGGTATAATACAATTTGATAGACAATTAAATTGTGCATCTGATTCTCCTAAAATATACAGGGCGTTCCATTTAAATTAAACAAGTTATTGTTGTTTAAAGCTAGAAATAATTTAAAATAAATTTTTAGACACTCTGTATGAGGTAGTATAATTTGTATTATTGCAACACAATAACTGATCAATAAATAGACTTCAGTAAATATTTAGTTTTAAAAACTTTGGTACCCTTGGAGAAATGAAGCCTTAAATTTTTTACTGCAATTTCACAAAATTGAAAATATTTCAAAAACGGTAAGGTTTAAGTGTAATAAACCTTAATCAAATTTACCTTTACTTTAATCGTAGGAACTAAAAATGTAATAATATACAGGGTGTTCCATTTAAAAAAATACAGCTTTGATATTTTTTATTTATTTGGGACACTCTGTATCTTGTAAAAATATTTTTAAATTGTAGCTCTAATAGTCCTTCAACGATCCCAAAACTTACAATTTGTAAAAATCTAATCGTTTAGCTACAATACTCCGTGTCGTATGTGGTGAACAACCCTGTATAATAAAAAACGGGGTTACTTATTTAAAATAAGAAAGCTGTCAACTTCCGGTATTTCCGGAAGTGCCGCAATACTTAAAAATATTTTTCTCTTTATGAAACAATGATGTGTAAAAAATCTCCGATATAGATACTGTGGTTCTCTAGAAACTTCTAATGCACGCTCAGCCTGGTACACCCTGTATAGCCCCTGTACATCCTATATACAAAATTTACAATTTGTGTGATAAAGTTGGATTGACTAGTTCTTCAGCGTAAACATATGGGATACATCAAAGAATATTAGATTAGTATTATACACTAAATATTGAATCTAAATAATAAACAAATCTTAACATTGTTTACACAGAAAGTTCGAAATTCTACATAACCCTTGGACAAGGATATAACTGAATTATCTAAACATGACAATCATAGGCATTATCGTAAATATTATTTATATTTTTATAACATTCATTTCATTGTTCATTTCGTGAAAAAAATCTGGATTATTCGTAGCATCTAAAAGTACAGTATTATAGAAAAAACGGCGTCCAGTTGGCATAGAAATGAATAGTAGTGGGAACTATCGAATGAATACTATCGAAACATTCGATAGTTGCAATTCATTCGAATAATTCGATAGTAAGAAAACATTCGTTGAAAACTATTCGAATAAAAATTATCGAATAGATCCGTCATCTGCCTTGAAATATTGTATTCTAGTAATTCGGCAGCAAAAACCATTCATTTATAAAATTCATTCATTTATGAAATTCATTTATTCGTCAGGATCGATTATAATAAAATATTAACTGAATTTTAGTTGTCGCCCGGCGACGTAGGTTTCTTTCCTAGAAACCCGACAGCGGTCGGTGGCAATGCTATGAAAGAAGCCGGCATCTTTGATTTTTTGCGGAGTCAGATATAGATAAGGACACATTATTTATTGAGGTGCTAGTATTTACACAGAAAATACATTATGAAGGGCGCTGTTGCCATATTTTGGTATTAGTTGATATTAGCAAAGAATATTATTGTTTGGCTTTAGTTAGTTAGGGATAGTATGTCTATCTATGATGTCTATATATTCTGCATTTTTTTTATTAATATTCTGTTGTTACACTGCAATAATACTTGTTATTTTGGATGTAAGAAAATGATTTTTAATGTTTTTAAGCAAAGACTGGTTTAATAAATAATAATAACAGCAATAATTTGTTATACCTATTAACAACAAAATTTAAAATGATTTAATATAAATATTTTTTTTACTAGTAGCAAAATATAAACAACAAATTAGATGTCAAAATTATTTATATTAGATCCTATTTAAAAATAATATAGTCTCTAAATTTTTTGGCAACGTTGGTTTATTAAATAATAATAATTACAGAACTAATTTGTTATATTAACAACAAATTTTAAAATCATGAAATATAAACATTTATTAATTTTCTAAGCATGCAGTGTAATGGAACGAAAATATAAATAAAAAATTAGAAATCAAAATTATTTATATTAGGTGCTTTATATTACTATTTAAAAATTATATTTACTTTTACTGGCATTTACTTTAAAAAATAAATGAAATATTTCTTCGCAAAAAACTACATGTAAGAAAATTAGCATAAACAAAATACAAACATCGTTAATTTTTTTTTAAATTGACACGTGTAAAACTTTCATTTTAATTTTCTCACCCCATAGTTTGAGTTCGATAACCATTTACTTAACCACATTACTTAAATATGATTATTAAGTTCAACTAATTCATATTATTAAAACATCTAAAATACAAATATGTATTTTTAAAATTAATTCAAAGTTCATATCATCTCTCTTAAAAATTGCTTCTTCTCAAAATTTCCCATTAAAAAATAAATCATATACCATATAAAATTAAATAATTGAAAGATCGGACTACGGAAAACCATACAAATTTTCGGAAAAATTTTGACCACCTGCACATGCACACAATCGTCAATAAATAAAATTAAAAAATAACTACTATTTTAGTATTTTAACTATTTTAATAAACGCAAAAATAGCACAGTATTTATACGGCGAAGTTATAAAAATTTGGAAGAACTAATAATGCACTGACGCATACAAAAATCAAACGAATACTAAATTTCATTTTTCATTTATCAAAAGCATTCGATAGTCGTGGCGCAACGATAACCATTTGGTCGCACGGCGAGGTTGTCACATATGCTTTAGTATACAAATGAATGAATGATTTTATTCGAATAAAACCATTTGATAGTCTAATTCATTCGATAGTTCGCATCGCTAGAAATGAACATCGATGACATTCCCCATATAATTTTACATATAAAATGCCATCGCTGACGCTGTTTTCTTTTCGATCATATGGTAGGATTTAAAAGAAAAATAGTTTTATATTTCTGTCTCAGTGTTCAAAATGTTGAAAAAGAATTAATTAAAAATTTTCGTTTTTAAACTTATGTTTACTGTTTTTATTAAATCAAATAAATTGTGTCGTATACAGGGTGGTCCGAATTGTACTCGAGAAACTTCGGCATCTGGAGCTAAAAATAAGTAACAAAGTTCGTATAAATTTATGTCCCGAAATGGCTTCGTTTCGGAGATACAGGGTGTAGAAGTTTCATTTTTATTTCGGTTTTTTCTAAATCATTTTTGGGTTATAGCAGATATTTGCATAAAAATCGGTGTCTGGGTGTTTGTTGACATGATAAATTTGGATTTTGATATCAATATCACTCCTTCTTGTAGGGGGCGCTACTTATATGTTTTTAACTGTTTTCAAGAATAATAACTTTTCGTCTGTACATTTTACCCTTTAATATATTTAAAAATTAATTTTCTGTAAAACGAAAAAACTATAATTTCTATTATAGTTTTTTCGTCAGTAGTAAAGTGCCTAGTAAGATTATTTAGACAAAAATATATTTTTACTGTTATTTTATACAGGGTGTCCCAGAAATAAGTGCAAGTATTTTAAGGGGTGATAGATCTGGTCAAAAGAAACACTTTTTCTCTTTACCATTTTTCAAATAAGTCCAAAATAACCAAGTTATTTTACTTTAAAAATTTAAACAAAAAATGCTTTTTTGCTTAAATATTGATCTTTTCTGGATTTTCTTTCATGTAAATTTAATCTACTACCCATGTTGCCATATTATCAAGAAATTATGTTTTTTAACTTAAAACTAAAAAAAAATACCGAAATTTTTTTCAAAAAATTTCAAATTTTATTTTTTTTTTCGCAAAAAAAACTCATAGGCGTGTTTCTGAGGCCGAAATATACTACCAGTTAAAATACTTGCACTTATTTCAGGGACACCCTGTATAGTATTATCTCATAATAATATCTATTAATACTTCATATACAGGGTGGTCCGAACTGTATTCTTCGGAAACTGTATTATTCTGGAAACTTCGGCAGCATATTCTGCAGATAAAAATCAGCAAAAAAGTTCGTATAAATGTATGTCCTAAAATGCTTAGTTTCGGAGCTACAGGGTGTAGAAGTTTCATATTTATTTCGATTTTTTTCAAATAATTTATGATGTAACGTAAATATTTGGATGAAAATTGGTGTCTAGGAGTTTTTTGACATGAGAACTACTCTTACTTGTAAAAAAAATGTATATTTTTTCACTCACTTGTTCTATACAGGTATGGACGAAAAGTTATTACTCTTCAAAACAGTTAAAGCATAATATGTAGGTGGCGCCCCTTACAAATAGGAGTCATATTGACATCAAAATCAAGTTTCTCATGCCAAAAAACTCCCAGACACCCATTTTCATCCAAATATTGACCTTACTTCAGAAATTATTTGGAAAAAGTTGAAATAAAAATGAAACTTCTACACCCTGTATCTGCGAATTACTTATTTTTATCTGCATAATATGCTGCCGAAGTTTCCGGAATAGAGTTCGGACCACCCTGTATCAGGCTAATCTTACAATCTTTGACACTGCGGCACTTTTGACTTAATTTCCGCAATTCCTTCTAATAAAAACAGGTCAAAATAATATACAGCCATAAACTCTACTAATTAACTTAATAACTTAATGGTTTTTCACAATCAACAAAAGCAAGATTCGTATCAAAGGATATTTTGCAATTTTCTTCAACATCAGATGCATTTTTAAAACCACACAAAATAGATAAATTAAAGCTTACTCCGTATCTGACGACCCAATCCATCGCAAGGTCCTTTATCCAAAGCGCACAATAATTGCTTTTCCACGTAAACGCTGCTGCTTAGGCCTTTTTGACAGTAAGCCAATTGAATTACGATTAAAAACAAACAAAAGCACGACACAATTTTCTTAAACATATTCATTTTAAACGATATGTTTTCCGCTAAGGTCGGTACTGCACGATACTGCTATGCGGAGGGTGGCGTGTAATCTAAAGAAACGCTCTTGTTCGAGATTTGGGAGGTGTATGTACCTTTCACGTAAGTCGGGTCGATTCTATACACTAGACCGGCAGCTCGAGTCTTTGGTCTTTGGTATTAGTTAAGGTTGAAAGCGTGAAGAATGGACAAAAGGCATGATTTTTTCTTTAAAGGAATTCAATCTCGGAACTGTATGCGTTTGTGCGTTTAAAATCCTCTGAAAAATAATATATTTCTACCTAAAAATGTAGAAATCTACTTGGATGAGATTCCATGATTCTAAAAATTTCTCAGTTGTATTTTTTTTATACAGGGTGATCGAAATTGGTCCATAGAAACTCTATTCTCTGACTAGATAGAGCAAAACCGACATAGATGTCATGAGCCTGACAGTCGCTTTATGCCATTAAACATGTCAAAGAAATCAATGATCTCTGTATTGGTTTTGATCTATATAGTCAAGAAATTGGTTTTATCAGTTTAGGAAGACTTATACTACCACCACTCTCCATTGAAAGCAAAAAAAAACGGTGATATAGCAGGTCAGTCTTGGAAGTACGTCGGAAAATTGTGTTTTACTAGATCTGCAATATATAGCCGGAGAGCTGGCAACATATTTAGAGAACATATTTTAGGCAAGTTAGAATAACAAAAAAAATAAAGTTTAATATCTTGTGAACCCAGAATCCTAAGTCTGGCTGGGGGGTTGGGGGTATTTTGCTACTGCGCAACCCATAACATTTGCAATTGTTTATTCTTAAATTTTAGCATCTATTTAACCTAGAAATAAGTGTGCCAGACCTTTTTTTCGGGTTTAAAGTGTAACCAGACCATTCCAAATATGTTTAATTAATATACCTGGAAAACATACTTTAGGCATTCTAAAATTTTTACACCGTGTTTATTAGATGATATTAAAAAATATGTGTTAATTGCCGGACGAATTCAATGGGATTAAATACTTGCCAGACGCGAATAAAGATTTTAAATGAGCGCGATAAAAAAGTCTTATGAGTATCTATAAGCGCGAGAAAGATAGTTTATTGAGACCCGTCGGCAGCCGACGCGGCTGACGTAACAGTATTTTGGAGTATGTACTACAAATTTTCATAAAAACAATTTTTTTTCGATTTTATTTCAATTATTTGCAGGCTTTCAATTCAGAGATTATTTTGTTGAAATTAAGTTACCATGTACAAATATGTATTTATAAATTAAATATTGACGTGCATAGTGTAAATAGTTTAGAATAAATACTGCAAATAAATATTTTAGTAACTACTAATTTCGCTACTAATTAATAAATCACAATGGATAAAAAACATTTAAGTTGTGTAGTTTGTAAAAAAGTTACTAGTGACAAAGTTATTGTTTTTGATGAAGGCAGACTACAAAAATGCAAAGAATTTTTAAAAGTGTGCCAACAACATTGTTTAAAATTTAAAGAAGTGGTTTTACCAGAAAACGTAGTCCCGACAAAAGGGTACCATGTACAGTGCTAAAAAAATAAGTATTCTGGATTTTATTAAAGTACCTACCATTGTTAATCTTTCTAAATAGATTCAAAAGTAAGTAAAAGTGCTTTACTTTTATGTTTAGGCGTTAAAATGACTTTTTTATATTGTCGATCAGGTCGCAAAAATTAATAATAATATAATATGTCACAAAAGTATAATAATAATTATACTTTTGTGACGTTTGAAAAAAATATATTTTATATTTTGCTAATTTTTAAATAATTATTCGTCTTTTTATTCTTTCAGATAAAAAATACTTAAGTAAAAAGTTAAAAAGTCCTCTTATTGAAAGGATTTCAATCATACATTTTGATTAAAAAATGTTTCTATTTTTTAATAAAAATATTTTAGTCAATATTATTTAGTTTTTTTTAAGTTTTTACGACTCCAAAATGCTGTTACGTCAGCCGCATCAGCTGCCGACCGGGTCTCAATAAACTATCTTTCTCGCGCTTATAGATACTCATAAGACTTTCTTTCGCGCTCATTTAAAATCTTTATTCGCGTCTGGCAAGTATTAAATGCCATTGAATTCGTCTGGAAATTAACACACATTTTTTAATATCATCTAATAAACACGCTGTAAAAATTTTAGAATGCCTAAAGTATGTTTTCCAGGAATAATAATTAAACATATTTGGAATGGTCTGGTTACACTTTAAACCCGAAAAGAAAGTCTGGCATACTTATTTCTAGGTTAAATAGATGCAAAAATTTAAGAATAAACAAATTTCAAGTTGCCTAAAGAATGTTTTTTGGATTTATTTGTTTGCAAATGTTATGGGTTGCGCAGTAGCGAAATACCCCCAACCCCCCAGCCAGACTTAGGATTCTGGGTTCACCAGTTAATAAACTATACATTTTTAGTTATTCTAGCTTGCCTAAAATATGTTCTCTAAATATGTCGTCAGCTCTTAGGCTAATACGGTATATCCCGGATTTTCTTTACATGAGAAAAAATTTTTTTAATATTGGTATTTTGAGAAAAATGCATTCTTCATAAAAATCTTGCTTTGTCTAGAATGGTTAATCTTGTCCAAATGTCCATACTGTTTTAGAGAAAATTATAAAAACATGAAAATTTTGTTGAATTTTCCTAAAAAAAGTCCAAAAAATCAAAATGCGTTTCTATGGTAATATAATTATTTAGTTTTCATTTTTTGGTAGATTGTTATTGATTGAGTTTTAATTAAAGTCACATATTTTGGTGTTTTAAAATGTTAAAGGACCACAAAATTTATTTAGTTCAATGCTATGGAAAGGCTGATGATAGTTATCTATCAGAAAATTTGACACTTCAACAACAACAACATCAAAAAAAAATAATAACAATCTATCAAACAATGAAATCGAAATGATATTACTATAGAAAAAGCCTTTTGATTTTTAGGAAAAATTCAACAATATTTTCAAGTTATTTTAAATTTTCTCTAAAACGTTATGGTAATTTAAAAAAGCATAAACGAGATTAACCATTTTAGAACAAGCAAACATTTTTATGAAGAAAGCAATTTTCTCAAAATATCAATAATAAAAAAGTTTTTCCTCTAGTAAAGATAATCCGGGGACATAATGTACAGGGTGGGTCAAATTCGACGCTTTTAAATGGAAACACCCTTTTCTATAGGAGATAGACAAAAACTAATATCGGTGTCTGGAGCTCAATTTTTGTCAAAAACATGATGGTGAAAACCGCATATCGATATCTGTTACCGTTTCGGAGTTACGGGGTGTTTTTCAAAATATGCATTTTTAACAGATCGCTGTAACTTTTTTGCTATGAAAAATTTTGTATTTTTATGAAAACATTTCCAAAGCACCTTTTTACATAGAATTTAATGGTTTAAGTATATATTTTTTTAAATTAATAATTTAAGAATTATCAACAGAACATTTGATTTTTTATATGGGACAGCCTATATATTTTTAATTTATTGAAACTAATTTAAAATTACCTTTCCAAAAATATAACACACTTGATATTTTGCTCGATTCCTCTTCGAGATATAGAGTATATAAAAATTCGCCCGCTTTATAAAGTAGGCTTTGAACGGCACCGGCTGTAATCACAGCTGTAATGCAAAAAAATCTGTGAGCATCAATTAAAACGAAAATAATATTTGCTGTGAGAGATGCAGAATTTTATAACAATTTAAAATATATTTAACCAACATCAACACATTTAAACTATATCTAATAACAATAAAAATAAATAGCAAACTAAGACATGAGATTTTGCTACAGGTCTTCGACATATCGACCGTCTTCTGTTATGGACAGACGGGGCAGTTTTTGAACATTTCTCGCGGAATCATTAACTCAGTGGAGGTGAAAGATACCCTCTCATAACTGCTAAGTATTCCTAATTCTTATCTAGATTATACGGAAGAATAAGGAACCTTTATTCTTCCCTAAATATATCCATAGGATTAGATCCATGGGCACTAAGTCAGGCGGCCTCGACGGCCAACGGCTGGGATCTTGGTTAGCTATTCAATTATTCTTGAAATTGGCTGCAAAAATTTGCTGATAACTTGAGCATTCAGAGGCGGTGCGTCGTCTTGCTGGAAAAATATGTTTTCGAGTTCCATTAAGGGCATATCATCAATAAGGGGTTCAAAGCCTACTAGTTAAAAGTGGCGAACTTTTAAAAATTCTGTATTTCGAAGGGAATTATAACAAAATATCAAGTGTGCTATATTTTTGGAAAGTAATTTAAAATTCTTTTCAGTTAATTAAAAATATAGAGGGTGTCAATCAATTTTTTTGTTGATAACTCTTAAATTATTAATTTTAAAAAATTATACTTAAACCATTAAATTCTACGTAGAAAGGTGCTTTGGAAATATTTTCATAGAAATACAAAATTTTCCATAGCAAAAAAGGTACAGCGATTTGTTAAAAATGCATATTTTTGAAAAACACCCCGTAACTCCGAAACGGTAACAGACATTGATGTGCGGTTTTCATCATCATGGTTTTGATGAAAATTGAGCTCCAGACACCGATATTAGTTTTCGTCTATCTCCTATAGAAATGGGTGTTTCCATTTAAAAGTGTCGAATTTGACCCACCCTGTACACGGTGGACCAAATAGCACATTTTTAAAAGAAAACACCCCTTTCTATAGGAGATAAAATGATTAATAACGGTGCCTGGAGCTCAATTTTTATCAAAAACATGATGGTAAAAACCGCATATTGATATCTCTTACTATTTCGGAGTTAATGGAGTGTTTTTCAAAAATGTACTTTTTCAACAAATCGCTATTACTTTTTTGCTATGGAAAATGTTGTATTTTTATGAAAACGTTTTCAAAGCACCTTTTACGTAGAATTCAATGGTTAGTCAATGATTTAATTCAATATCCTATAGAAAAGAGAGTTTCCCTTTGAAAGTGTCCAATTTGTACTTTCGATATACTATTCAGATGTATAAAAAAATGACAACAAAGTAATAAATTAGAATAACTTAGGTTGCATATCATAAAACACCCACCAGCAAACTCCGAAAATTGTTTTAATTTCCCATATTACTTAACAGTAACATATATTTTAGAATATCTTTCAAGGTAATTAGGGAGTTTTAAAAAATAGCCAAACGAGAGTAGATTTATTAATAAACTATAAATAAATATAAATATAAGCTCATTTCTATTCATTTTAACCTTTCTATCGTAACCTATTTTCTTAGCTATTAAATATCTGTATCGAACAGTTTCAATATATCTTTAATGATTAAACGGAAAATTATTAGAAAAAAAAATCGGATATTATGTATTGTAAGGTACTGACGTTTCAATGCCAATTTGTATATAAATAATTATTCTATTATAAAATTAAAATATATAAATAATTTTATTTTATCGTATACTATATTTTTTAATTATGTCCTGATTGCAGCATGAAAGGCATTTTATTTGGTATTTTCAAAACACATACCTAGAACTAAAAAAAAACATAATCAACAAATTGTACTGAGAACATGAACTATTATTATATATTTTTAGATTTCTTTTGTTGTGACTTAATACTGTAGTATTCATATTTACAAAAATATAAATTATATCAGCATTAATATTTACAAAAATGCGCAAAGTATTCTTTATTTATTTTTAATATACAGGGTGATTCCTGTAAGTCGGTCATGCTTTCGGGGAATGATAGGGGACGTCGAAATTATAATTTTGATGTAGCACACTATGGGTCGGAAATGCCTCTTACAATAACACCTTGCAAGATACAGGGTGTTAAAGTTTTAGAAAAATTTAAGATATTCTTTAATAATTTTTTAACAGTTGAAAGTATCGTTATAAAATTTCATTATAGGAGTCTACCTAACAGAGACACTTTAAATGTAAAAAGAAGAGGTTTTAGTTTCAACCAGTGGCGTAGATGTGATACGCATCGGGTAATTTTTTTCAAAAAAAATAGTACGCCACTGCCAAAAATAAAAATTTCGGAGTTTTTTTATTTACTCGGTTTATTTTTTTAAAATAGATAAGTTATAATAAGTATTTATTAACACAAACATCCGATACGCTACTGAAGCAGGTAAGTCAAATTAACGTATCTAAATTCTTTGACATCTAATCTTTGACAAGTAATAAATAAAAGCTAAAATGCAAGAAAAATATATAATTTAGTTAATTTAAGTGAATTTCATAAATGATCGGCTTACTACACGTATGTATATTATATAGTCACTTACTAGCGAAAAGTTGTTCCATTATTTCACTCAATTTTTGCCGAGATCTACCGCACGCTACACAACCAACTATTTTAGAGTCTTTTTCGATAAATCGCGATAGTGTCACTGTTAATTTAAGTTCTGCCACAATTTCCATCTAGATTTACTACCTTTATACAACTATCAATAGTAGAATAAATAAAAAATAACATAAAATAAGCTCCGTAAAGACTGACAAATCCACAAAATTTCAAATCAAATTCAAATGTGTCAAATGAATCGTCAAACAGAACTGTCAAGGATCCCCACCCTAGAGAGCTTTTATGGTGGCTTTTCCGCCCACCATGCATGAATACATGGATAGCATTATGCTCCTTCCTTAGTCTTCTTATTCCAAGGTTTATTTACAAGAAAAAATGTCTCTTGCAACTTTCTCCTATCTAACACCATTTTGTCACAAATTAAAAATAAATAAATTTTTTAATGAAAATCTTAATACAGCGAATTATTATTATATTGGATCATTTGCTTTGTCATTATCTTCCATCCCTTGGTGAGCTGGCATCTACAGTAGGATTTTGTTTTATTTGCCTAATTTGTTCAGTACCTCTAGGCGTTTTTTGACCAACTTCGAATTGATTGATACTGAGTTGATCGCTTTTAACGCTGCGTGACTATTAGATAAAATAATGATGTCCTCTTAATATTGAGGAAACAAACACGGAGGCATTAAAATGTTTCCTTTTTAAATTTTTTCCAAAAATTTCATCCAAAAATATAAATTCCCGCAATTTTTTTTGATAAAATATCTCTCATGGGTTTTTTTGTGTGACTTCGAAATATACTGGCACTTATTTAATAGTCACCCTGTATAAATAAATATTTACTTCCGTTAACACTATCCCAATTATAGTTTTCTTTGTCATGAACAACAGACAACTAAATAAATACAAACACTGAGTGATATGGTAATGAGCCAGCTTAATCAGGCGCTCGTTGTCATTCTCTATTCTTGTGTTCCGCAACACAATAGCGCCGAAACGCCATTGGTGGAAAGAAATTGATCGGTCCTGCTACCGTTCCATGAATTGCTACATCGATACGAGACGACTACTTGGTGCTTTTTTAACAATCTATTACAGCTAGAGTACACCTATTAGACGTATAGAAACGAGTAGCCTTTGAAAAATCCCCTTCTATCGAATTAGTTTATTACAGCAGAGTTTGCAGCGGTGCAATTGTTAATTAGGTGGATTTTAGTTGATTTCTGTGTCAAGACAATGTCGGTTTCACCGTCTATAAATAGAGGAACTGATGTAAGTATTACTTTTACTTATATATCTATCTATTTTAAGTAAATATTCATTGAAATTTAGATGCAAAAAACGCAACGGAGAATTTCTTCGTCAAATTTAAAGCGTTATATTTTTTTTTACTTTTAATCCAATTTTCATGATCTTTTTTAGCAAACTGTATATAAATCTATCAACTTTAATTCATAAACTCAGTTTTTTTTATAAATTTTAGTATTAGTCTTGGGTTGTTTTTTACCCTAACTTTAAAACACTCTGTGTAATAATTGCGTTAGTAACTTTTCCTAAAACATTATTTTTCGATCAGAACCATGCCCCCTGAGCATTTTCTTTTTTTGGTTCATGTCAACACATGCCGTTTGGTTAATTTTTAAGAGCGAAATGAATTTTCCATCAACAATTGGTAAGTTTTTTCAACTATCATTACTTTTTGATGTTATTTTTTAATATTACGAGGTGACTTTGGTGATTATTATGGTAATGTCATATCGACACTGATCAGAACTCTATATTACAATTTAAAAAACGTTCAAAAGTAACGATACAGGCTTGGTGTTAATAAATAATTAGTAACACTAACAGAACTTAGAATATTAAAAAATAATAACTGTAATAACTAATAAGTGTACAATCAAACAAAAAACTTGAAAAAAAAAACTCTAATACATTGCATTGTCGCCCCCGGCTGCTATAACTGTCTGTATACAGCCGTTCATACTGTTAATGAGGCTGTAAATATATTGTGTTCAAGCACAAAGTGAATATTCACAATTTCGGCCATCTTCAACAAGATCAATGACTTTTGCACAATCTTGGACACTAAGAACCATATTCAATCGTACACAACAATAATCATCAAAGCCACCTCGTCATTATGAAGAATAAAATCAAAAAGTAATGATAATAAATGAAAAATTGGAAAATGTTTGTGGCAAGTTAATTTTGCTCTTAAAAATTAACCAAAGGATGTGTTGAGAAGAGTCAAAACACAAAATATTCAGAATACCATGCTTCTGATCGAAAAATAATGTTTTAGGAAAATACATAAGGAAGCCAAAAATGAAGTAATATACAGGGTGTTCCATTAAAAAAATCATCCCAATCCACTCACACTCTTTTGATGCACCTTATAGAAGTTAAAATACTTTCCTGAAATACATCCTCGTATACATACTTTAGGTTTGCACTTAAACAAAAATTCTCAATTTTTTTTATTCTAGGGGCTACAAATGTCCGACGCACTATTGCCGAACCCTGTATGTTTATAAAAAAAATACATCATCTAATTAGAATTGTAGAAAACTAGATATACAGGGTATTTCAAAACAAATGCGAAAAACTTCAGGGGGTGATTCCTTGTTCAAAATAAAGGGTAGTTTGCTTCATAAACGTTGGGTCAAAAGTCAACCATTAGGGAGATATCGCGGTACAAAGATGGCGGAAAAATAATGTTCTTATTTTTTATTTTGAAAACGAAAAGAGATAGACTAATGAAATTTTATGGAAGCATTACTAGTGTTTTTTTATTTTGATCTAATTGGAAGAGTTTCCCTCATGATGTTCTCTTATGGGTATCTCGAAACTACTGGAGATAGAGAGTCAGTTAAATGGGGAAAGAATTGCAGTTTTGTGGGGTCATAAATATGCGCTTTTCTCAGATTTTCGAAAAAGTTCATGGCTTACTAGATATTTCTGAAAAACAAATTTTGGCTATGTTAAAAATTGTCTCTAATTCCATTATAATCTATTTTAGACAAAAAAGTTTTCAGATAAAAGTTGTAGATAATCACATCCCTAATGAGATTGTGTCCTCCGATTTTTCTAAAGCCTGTCATTTTGACATATGACACAAACATATGTTTTTTTAAATAGAAACCATAGTTGGCCATGACTTCATAAAAAGCGCCGTTTTTTAAGCTTTTCAACGATATAAGCTTGTAATATGTTTCTTTCACAAAATTACTGAGTTATAACCAATTCTTATCAAACATATGCAAAAACTAATTTCACTTTAGTTAGCCATGGAAACAAGTTCAATTGTCGTTGCTCTTGTATGTGAAACTGTCACATCCACCAGATTTGTAAATTAACATAAACTAAAAATTGTAAACTGAAAGTTTTTTAAATGAAGAACAGCGTGAGAATTATTGATTCAACTTTAATCTTGGCCATCCAGTTTCGCAGATATGTTGACCGTCAAATAAAACGTTTTTAGAAACGGTTTTCAAGACATGTTAGAAAAGTTAAATTTAGATACTCGCGCATTAATACAGTGGTTCCAACATGACTTTCATTATGACGCACTAACCCCCCCCCCACAATGAAAGAAATGTTATTTAAAAAATTATTTATATCATAATTATGTATACTCAGGGAGGTGGACCAATTGCATGGTTCTCCCCGGTCACCTGACCTATCCATTTTAGATTTTTTATGCGGTATATGGTTAACAAGGTTTACAAAAAAACTTATGAATTAAGAGAGGCACTCGAAGAGGCGGAACAGGAGAAGTTTAATTAAGGCGACCGGTCGTTCTGTGACAATAGCTAGAAATTCAGTTTTAAAAAGATTTTCAAAATAACATATTTTGTCTCTTTATAAGTTATAAATCACAACAAAATTTGAACACCATTGAAAACCGTTCTCTAAAAACGTAAGTAACTTTCACCGGTCAACGTATCCTGTATGGCCAAGAAAAGTTGAACCAACAATCCTACACGCTTTTCTTCATTTGAAAAAATTTTATTTACAATTTTGTTTATTTTAATTTACAAAGATTGATGTGACACAATTTCACATTTCTGAGAGCAACGACGATTGAACTTGTTTCCATGGCTAACTAAGTGAAATTAGTCAAGAAAGATAAGAATTGGCTATAACTCAGTATTTTTTGAAAGAAACATATTATAGAGTTTAAAAAGCTGAAAAGCTTAAAAATGGCGCTTTTATGAAGTCATAGCAAAATATAGTTTCCATTTAAAAAAATATGTTTGTGTCGTATTTCAAAATGACAGGTTTTATAAAAAATCGGGGAACACAAACTCATTAGGGAATGTGAATTTCTGAACTTTTATCTGAACACTTTTGTCTAAAACATTGTAATGGAATTAGGGACAATTTTTAAAATAGCCAAAATTTGTTTTTTTCGAAATATCTAGTAAGCCATTAACTTTTTCAAAATCTGAAAGGCGCATATTTATGACCCCACAAAACTGCAATTCTTTTCCCCATTTAAACGACTCTCTGTCTCCAGTAGTTTCCGAGATGCCCATAGAGAACATCGTAGGAAACTCACACCTGTATACAGGGTGGTCCGAACTGTACCTGAAACTTCGGCAGCATATTCTCTGCAGATAAAAATAATGTAAAAAGTTCGTATAAATGTATGTCCTAAAATACTTAGTTTCGAGATACAGGTGTAGAAGTTCATTTTATTTCGATTTTTCCTAAATAATTTCTGAAGTAAAGTCAATATCTGGATGAAAATGGGTGTCAGAGAGTTTTGTGACACGAGAAATTAGATTTTGATGTCAAAATGACTCCTATTTGTAGGGGCGCCACCTACCTGCGTTTTGACAATTTTGAAGAGTAATAACTTTTCGACGGTACCTGTATAAAACTACTGACTAAAAAAATATACATTTCCATGATTTTTTACGTAAAAAATGTCTCTTAGTAAAAATCGCTACAAGCAACCGTTCTCAAGATATTTAAAATGGAAATAGTCAATACATGTCATTATTGACAAATAATAAGCCGAGGGGTGTCTCACTACTGGAATTACATGTACATTTTCTTGGCAGTCGCTGGCATTCATTGGCAGTCATTGGCAGTCTTATGGCAGTCGCCTATAATAATTAAACATTTCGGTCATGAGTCTTTTCGCAGGCATTGGCAGTCGCTTGGCGGTAAGTGATATTTTTGGCAGTACATTTAAAATTTTCTGCCCAAGTGAGACACCCTTCGTAATAAGCAATATCGTTGAATAGAGTTATTTGACTGAAATAATAAATTTTAATTTTTTTAAATTAATCATAAATTTTTTCTGCGAAAAAATGATGATTAAACAGTTTCTGTTGAACTTTTGGCACAAAAAGATTTCAAATTTAAGATTTCAGTCTAATAACTAGTTGGTCAACATGTTTAATTTGTCAATGATGACAGGTATGGATAATTTCAATTCAAATATCTCGAGAACCATTACTCGTAGCGATTTTTACCAAGAGATCTGTTTTATGTAAAAAAGTTGTAAATGTATGTATATATTTTTACTCGGTAGTTTTATACAGGTATGGATGAAAAGTTATTACTCTTCAAACCAGTTAAAGCATATGTAGGTGGCGCCCTCTACAAGTAGGAGTCATATTGACATGAAAATCAAATTTCTCATATCCAAAAACTCCCAGACACCAATTTTCATCCAAATATTCACGTTACTTCTTAAATTATTTGGAAAAAATCTCGAAATAAAAATGAAATTTCTACACCCTGTATCTCCGAAACTAAGCATTTTAGGACATACATTTATACGAACTTTTTCACTTATTTTTATCTGCAGAATATGCTGCCGAAGTTTCCGGAATACAATTCGGACCACCCTGTATATTAATCGGTTTAAAACGTTCTACGTCTTCCGATGCCATCTCTCCATGCACCGTCTCCGAGAGATATTTCCTCCATAAACGTGTCAATCCCTTCCTGCCAACTTCTTCTCGGTCTACCCGGTTTTCTTCTCCCTGCAGGTTTTCAGTTATAATTTGCTTTGGGATTCTTATTTCTGCCATTCTTTGGACATGCCCGTCCCATATGAGTTGACTGTTCTTTAAGTCGTCCACTATCGTACGTTTAACTTCCATAATCTCTCTTATGCGTTCATTAGTTATTCGCTCGAGTCTTGATTTGCCTGCTGATCTTCTCCAAAAATCCATCTCTGTAGCTTCCAGCATTCGTTTTGTTGTTTCTTTAATTGGCCACACTTATTCACAGCTGTATGTGGTTATACTCTTGATGATGGTATTATATATTAGAGTTTTGTTCTTGTTGTTTATGCTTCTGTCCTACAGTATCCCATTCAATACCGTGATAGCATTCTTTCCAAGTTGGTTTCGTTCTTTAATTGCTGTATCCAACAGACCATCATTTGTGATTTGCATACCCAAATATTTGTATTTTGTGCAGCACTTAATTCTCTTCCCTTCTTCTAGTATTTGATCTTGTTGTTCTCCTCCGTTACACATATATTCTGTTTTGTTAGTATTGATCTCGAGTCCCCATTTCTGATATTCTTCTATAAGCTTACGTGTCATATAATTTATGTCATCGTATTCTTGTGCTATGATCACCTGATCGTCCGCGAAGCAAAGTGTGTAGAGCATGTTATCCCCTATGGGTACTCCCATATTTCTATATTTTTGCTTCCAAACTTTGAGAACTTGTTCGAGATATATCTTGAACAGTGTTGGTGAAATACAGCACCCTTGTTTCAAACCTTTGGTTCCATTAAATCCTGTTGTTAACTTTTTGCCGACTTTTATTCTAGTTTTTGTTTGTTTATATAATGATTTTACTGCTTTTAATAAAAGCAGAAAACTAGATACAAACAATAAAATAAATAATTATAGATAAGTGATATAATTACTACTAAATATTTGTGCAATTACTAAGTGTCAAAAGAACATCTGCCGCCTCTGTAGGTATAAACAAAACATATTTACAAACCCAAACAATGGATTTATTTAAATAATTGCATCTCATCTATGAATCTGTTTTGAATATTTAGTAGGTATCTCATTGCATATTTGTATTAAAGCTGTGAAATAGATATTACAAATTTTAATTGAAAATATACAACTTTAATAAACTTAACAATTATTATATTTTTAAAAATATTTTTGTCGGTAAAACGAATAATTATAAATAGCAGTTATTAAAAAGCAATGAATATAAATAATAATTATTCTAAAATGTATATATTTTATAAATAAAATAATAATAAGCTCTACTCAAGAACCTTCTTACTTCTTAGTCAATGTGGTTTCCTTAATTTAAAGTTACATGTGAATAAAATAATAAAACACATGTTAGCACATTACATTACGAAGTATTACTGTATTTTTTCTCAAATAAAACTAGTCAGTAGTTGTATTCACTAAAATTTACTAAACAAAATATTGTATTTCAATATTCCTACACAAGCCTTATAATTTTGTAACTGCAAAGAAGCAACTGGAATAAAATCAGTTTTATTGTCTAACATCCGTTCAAAAAAAGATTATTTATATTAAACAAAGGAGATACACTGACCTGTTTGACAATTTTAAACCTAATTTGTAAGATGCTCTTATCAACTCATGTTTCAGAGAATCTCACAGATAATCTATTCCACGATCAACTTTATTTTACTATAAAAATATTGATTAATCCACTTAACCTAGCTACTGATGACTGCAACCAATTATTTTTATAAATGCATGTAAACAAGTTTAAAAACAGACGCATTTTTTATCGGTATCTAAATTAAAGATGTATCTGATCTTTTGATACGATATTTTAATTTTATTTGTTATCATTTCTATTGTAAATTAGTTGTGTGTATGTGTGTGTGAGTCTGGTTAGAAAATATATTAGTAAAAATGGCGGGTAAAAGTGAAGAATCTGAAGTGACTGTTGATGGAAACGTAGTTGGAGTTATAGCTGAAGCTACTATAGCGACTATAGAAATTGTAAAGGTTAGTGATTTCAAAAACTTCATGACAAAAAGTTAATAAAGAAGATAACTTTGTGAAACAATGTAGCCTGTATTTAATATTCATTTTGTCTCACCTTATACAGCTTTTAGGGTGAAGTTTTAATTTGATTTAAAGTACAATTATTGTTTAACTACATATTAGGCCATATACAGGGTAAATTCCAATTTAGGTAGCTTTTATTGCAATTTCAAATTTGTTCTTCATTTTTGTAAAATATTAAATACTTTTGCTTCCATTTTAGTTATATATTTCTCTAATGAAACACACCCTTATTTTTCCCTGGAATCCTATTATAAAAATAAAAAACTGTGCGTGCACTATGTGTGCATATATGAAATCAAACTTTTACTTACTTCTGTCCATTTGGATACCTCTATCTACGTGCCGAATTTGGTTCCAATCGACCCATAATTAAGAAAAATCCTGATGATTTCGTCCATTTAAAGGCATCGCATGTCGAGGGCGTCATCCTGTAGCCCGTTCCCAATTATGCCGAAATCGACCCACATTTTTCTTTAATATCAAATCCTTAGTCCCACGGACGACATCAACTTTTGCCGTTTCTTACGTCAAAACTAACTGTCACAGTGACACGTATCTTACCTGGTCAAGTTGGCTTTGGTCCAATCTATCGACATACTAAGTTTTATTTAAATCGGACGATTTTTTTATTTGATGCATTGATAATGGGGTTTCGTAGTGCATGACACGTCGTTAAAATATCATGAAAAGATGGGGCTCGAAGAGCATACGTTCCTAGTTTCAACCCCCTAGCCCACATAGTGCCCGAGTTACGACGCTCCAGGATCGTTACCACTTTTACTCTCGCGTCTTGTGTGTCACGGCCTTCAATTTTTAGTCCCATCGCGCGTAAAGAAGTTTCACTTCAAAAAAATAAAACTTTAATGCGTACCTTTTTGTATTTAGAAACACCCTGTAGAACCCTATATATTTTCAAAAAATACTCTAAATTAAATCAAAATTTCCTTTCAAAATAAACTGTCGGAGTCATATGATATGCGCCACCCTGTATTTAGCATACGCAGACGTTTAAAAAATCTATTTATGACTTCAGTGTAAAGTTCAACAGTTGAGCTTTTAATTTTTTGAGTCCAAAATTTGCATGGGATTTCCTATTTCGATTCCAATGATGAAGCACACACCACCCGGTATATAGTAAGTAATTAAAATGTGATGCATATAGTCCAAGGTTTCTTCTCTCGTTTCTTCTATACCAATTATTATACCATAAAGATAATTACTGAATCATTATTATTTGTTTCAGAAGACCTTAGATGTAAACAAATATGCCACAAAGAAAACCATCGCGCAAGGCCTACTGGATGTCGCCTTACTCACTGCAAATGCCTCACAACTCAAATACGTCCTGCAAGTTGGAGAAAAGCATGAATTCTACTCACTAATGCTCAGTTTAATCAGTATATCGATAATTTTACAGGTTTGTATTAATCTATTGTCTAGGAACAATAAAATACAGTTATAGATTTAACTTCATTCAAAACCTTGAAATTAGTGGAATAAATTAGTGGTTTTAATTAGCGCATGTTTATTACTTATTAGGTTTCTCTAATTTCAATGTAAGAATTCAGAACGTCAAAATTAGTGGTTATAATTTTCAATTAGTAGAAAAAGGTTAGCTTCATTCAGAACCTCGCAATTAGTCGAATAAATTTTTCAGTTACACTTTATAATTTTTTAACGATCATTAACAATATTTAAAAAACAATTAAAATTAATAGAATATCCTAGCAACATCTTGCGTTAGTCAATCGTATCCATAGAGAAAGCTTATAAAATATTTAGCTTATAAAACAATCAATTTTTGATTTCTAACCACAATTTCTCTTGACGGAAGATAATCAAAGGCCAAAATGACATTTCTCGCAAATTTTGAAGTATAATTAGTGGAAAAGTTAAAAGTTTGATAACTTTTTCTACTAATTGAAAATGTCTACCACTAATTTTAACTTTCTGAATGCTTACATTAAAATTAAAAGAACAAACATCTACGCTAATTGAAACCAGTAATTTATTCCACTAATTGCGAGGTTCTGAATGAAGCTTTACAAACTTTTAACTTTTGCCACTAATTATACTTAAAATTAGGGAGTAACGCCATTTTGCCTTCTTATTATCATCCCTAAAGAGAAATTGTGGTTATAAATGAAAAGTTTATTATTTTATAAGCTAATTTTTAGGCTTTCTCTATGGATACAACCGACTACCGCAAACTGTGGCTAGGATATTCTTTTAATTGTATTTTTAGACATGGTGAATGATCATAAATCATAAACTCTTAAGTATAACGTTATAATTATAACCAATAATTTATTCTAGTAATTTCGAGGTTCGAAATGAAGCTTAAGAACTGCTAAAAAAGTTATGAATTTTTTTGTTTTGTATATCTAAAAATTGTAATCAATATTAAAGTAAAGGCATAATTATTCGTAAATCATATATTTGCCACTGGAGGGTAGTATATAGAACTTATTTTTTTCAAAATAATGTTATTAAATATATTACGCATAGCTATTTATAATAAATAATCACTATAAATAAGTTTAATAACTCTACTTTTTTGGTGTCATGTAGGATGCCACAGATTACAGCATATAAGAAATAATTTTATTCAGGCGATACTAATTAAAAAATTAACTACAATACTTCGTTTCCTGTATATGAATAATTGGTTTGATGTGAAACAAGGAAAATATAATTTCGACATAAAAAAATTGTTTTGCAATATGTGAGCGGTTAAAAATTTCTATTTTCATTGTGACGATCACATGAAAATTCACCAAATCTTCAAAGGAGATTTTTGTAGCAATCAGATATTTTTAAAAAATTAATTTACTTTGTATGTAAAAATATTTGAAAAAGTAGAATATTTTGCTTCCTGTTTCCAATAATTGTTTCTGCTCACGCTATACATGAAAAAATAATAACGAAAAATTAAAATTCGTCGATAATTTCCAAGAAAAATGTGTTACTTTAAAAACAAGTATACCTTCCTAAACATATACAGGGTGACTCTTAAATAAGTGCAAATATTTTAGGGGTAGTATATTTCGACCCTAGAAACACAATTATAAGGTTTTTTGCGATTTTTTTTTGAAAATTTGGAATTTTTTGAAAAAAGATTTAGAATTTTTTTTAGTTTTTGGTTAAAAAACATAGTTTTTTGATAATATGGCAACATAGATGGTCGATTACATTTACAAGAAATAAAATCGAAAATGTTTTATCGAGATCTACCAGTTCTGAAAAGATTTGCACTTATTTAAGACTCACCCTGTATAGACTTCTATTATACAGGGGGGCCTACTATTTTGAGAGAACTTTATATCAGGGGGGTCTCCTCTTTCAGATTTTAACAAATAAAATATGGCGGACAGTTCTGTTGTAGAGGGCATATTTTATTTTTTGTAATATACAAGGTGTTCCGAACTGTATTCCGGAAACTTCGGCAGCATATTCTGCAGATAAAAATAAATAAAAAAGTTCGTATAAATGTATGTCTTAAAATGCCTAGTTTCGGACATACAGGGTGTAGAAATTTCATTTTTATTTCGATTTTTTCCAAATAATTTATAAAGCAACGTCAATATTTGGATGAAAATTGGTGCCCGGAAGTTTTTTAACATAAAAAAATTGATTTTGATGTCAATATGACGCTACTTGTAGAGGGCATTCTCTCATATGTAGAGAACCTACATATTTTTTAACTGCTTTGAAGAGTAATAACTTTTCTTCCGTATCTGCATAAAGCTACTAAGTAAAAAAATATACATTAACGATATTTTTTACGTAAAAAAGGTCTCTTGGTAAAAATCGCTACAAGTAATGATTCTCGAGATACTTAGAATCGAAATTATCAATACACCTGTCATATATAATTGACTTTGATTAAACATGTTGACTAAATACCCAAGCAACACACAATGGTATATTATACGTTTAAACTGATCTAATACCGTCCGTCTTATCTATACGTGTATTAAATGTTATTTTTCTTTATAAATTTATACGTGAAACAGAACCGTTTATTAAATGTTATTTTTACATACAAATTTATACGTATCCAGGAAATGAAATTTAGTAATATAACCACACCTAGCATTATTGTTTTTCATTAATATGAAGGATTTTTGAACCAGTATAAACAAACCTTAGGTTACTTAAGAAATGCTACCATAATACCAATGGTGACATAAATTATACCCTATAACCCCTTTATAATATTGCAATCTTTAAGTAATCTAAAATTAAAAAGGTTGTTTTTACTGCTTCAAAAATTCTCCCTATTAATAAAAACAATAACGCTAGGTGGTTAAATTACTAAATTTAATTACCTAATACATTTTTTATGGTTAATGGTGGAATTTTTAATGAATAAGTATAAAAAACTTAATGGAAATCTTCTTTAATAACATTTTAAAAATTGGAGACATATACCGTACATTACTGAAATAAAAATAAACAAAACATATCATAATTCTTAAAATAAGAAAACTGACAATGCATAAATATAACTAAACATAAAATATAAAGAATAATATATACATACGTTCACATTTTTTCTCTGTTATACGAGTAGTATATTATTTTACAAAATCGTTTAAATCAATCCAGTTGTCTACCAGAATAAGAAAGTTTGACAGCTTCTAAAAAATGGAGAAAGGGCCAACAATATATTATACAATTACTGATAGGGTGTAATAAATAACTTTCTAACAACAAGTTTTTATTTAATCCGTGTACTAAAAGTAATAAAAAAAGTTTAGGTTTAAGAAAGGTCTGTTTTTTTAAAAATGTTTGCGCGAATTGTTTTTTTAATTTGCAACAGGGGTATGTAAACGGTATACAGTATACGTCTACAAAACCTATGCTCAGTACTGCAAAAACTTGTCATTGAACATGAACATATTCATGCATATAAAAATATACATAAATACATACAAGTGAAGTTAAATAAAAGCTTATAATTGATAAATTTAAAACTTACCCTCAATTCCGTTTCCAAAGGAAAAAAATGACGAAAAAACATCCTCAAAACGCTACAACGCGTAATACGGTAATAGAGCCTAAGTGTACTTTCTCTTTCTTCTGCAATTGAACTATAAATTGTGTAAAAGGAGAGCTGGATACTGGATATACCATATGTATGTCTTTAGGAAAAGTATTATATTAAATAATGCACCTTATATTGATATCAAACAAACAATGTGTGGACACAATGGCGTCTTTACACCCTTAGTCACGCTTATGAATACCCTAGCCTAGATGTTTCATAGAAGACGCAACGTGATTGGGTAGATTTGATCATGTGACAATATTTTGTAGTGTCGAGTATAGGTTTCATATTCGTATACCATATTCCATTTAGATTCCATCTGCTGTAAAAAGTCTAACGACATGATTGGTAGATCTTATCACATGACTAGATTTTATAGTGTCGAATAAACGTTTCGTATATGTAGTCTATATACCATTTCTATACAATTTATTGATACTGGTTATATACGTTTTTGAAATTCATTTCTTTCCAATATTTTTATATTGGATTTCAAATTTATCAAAACATCACAAAAAACAGTTTGATAATGACTTACGATGCCCTTTGTGAATGAACTTTTCAAAAATTAAGAATATATAAGACTTGGTGCCAAAATCGAAATATTATATACTTAAAATATATGTTTCGAATATACATTAAAAAGCAGTATACTAATGTTCAGTGTAATAAACGTATATACTAAGACTAACGGAAAATAAAGCCCTTTAATATGCGTATATTATACGTTGCATATAAAAAAGTAATATGAAATAGGTACGTATATTATTTATACCTTTAAAAAAATATACGATCTTTATACGGATAGTACGTTTATTAAACGTATATACTCTTGAACGGTGTTGCTTGGGTACTTATTAAACTGAAATCATAAATTTGAAATGTTTTTGTGCCAAAAGTTCAACAGAAACTGTTTTATCATATTTTTTTGCAGAAAAATTTATGATTAATTAAAAAAAACAAATTTATAAATAACTATCTGCTCAACGTGTTTATTTTTTGTCAATATAATGACATGTATTGACTATTTCCATTCTAAATATCTTGAGAACGGTTGCTCGTAGCGATTTTTACCAAAAGACATTTTTACGTAAAAAGTCACGGAAATGTACATTTTTTTACTCAGTAGTTTTATACAGGTACGGACGAAAAGTTATTATTCTTCAAAACAGTTATAGCACATGTAGGTGGCGCCTCCTACAAATAGGTGTCATATTAACATCAAAATCAAATTTCACGTGCCAAAAAACTACCAGACACCAAATTTCATCCAAATATTGACGTTACTTCACAAATTATTTGGAAAAAATTGAAATAAAAATGAAACTTCTACACCCTGTATCTCCGAAACTAAGCATTTTAGC